AAAATTAATTTAAACAAGTTGTAATAAATAATTAAATTTCAAAAACAACTATGGTAACTAAATGATTTTAATCACAGAAAATTTCTACTTTTTTAAATAATTTGAATATGTTACAGAAAATCGGCATAACTAACCAAAATAAAAATTATAGTTTCAGATTTACAAAAATCTAGAAACAATTAACAATCATTTTTAACATGATTTTTCTTTTTTTTTAAACAACTAATATCAGATATTTACATCATCCAAATCATAAGCTTTTGAACCTGTTATGTGTTGTATTTTTGTGAAAAAAAAATCATAGAATATAATAAAAGAGAAAATGAAGAGATTATTGTTAATAATATGTTTAATTCAGTCTATAATACTCATTAATCTTATCTAACACTGAGTCATTATAATCAATCATGGAATTACAAAATTAATAAAAATTATTTTTTATTAGGAGAAAAATTTATTTTAACCAAATTAAAATTTATGTAGTGATTAATTACACAAATTAATATTTGAGTCCAACAGCATTTTGATCGAAAAGTCCTGAATGTACTTTCTAATTATCACAAATAGATATAGAGATGGCGCACACATCATGGAGGATCGCAACAATTACAAATCCACACACAAGATCCCCCATCTAAATTCCTCTTGGAACAGTAATCGCCCACACCGATGCGGTTTGGAAAGCAGACACCAAACATGCAGGGCTAGGATGGGTCTTTGCCGATAATGAGGATCGAGAACTCAGCGAGGTCACAGAACAAAGGCTTTCGTGGGATCAGCATTGGTAGTCGAAGCATTGACTACAAGATCAGTCCTAAACTGCGCTTTGAAAATGAACTTCACCTATCTGTGCATCAAATCAGATGTTCAATCACTCATACAAGCCATCAATTTACAAGAGAAAATCGAGAAAATTTTTGGTTTCTTTTTTTTATATCAACACTCTTGCATCTCTATCTACTTCAATCTCCTTTTGCTTTGTCCCAAAAGAAAACAATAGGATCGCCGATTGTATCGCCAAGAACTCTCGAACCGGATTTATATCCGGTTTAAGTTTTTAATCATATTTAATTGTTCAGAAAAAAACACATGGCGTACACATCCCCATCTCAAACCTCTTTTACTCTGAAAATACTCTGCTACTCCATTAACTTGACCTGAAAATGATGACGTGGAGAAACAAGTATTAATCCAGCGAATGAATAGCTTCAAGAAATGCAAAGCTATATAAGCTTTGAATAAATAAAATCCCATTGTGCTATATCAAAAGTTATAGCGATGTTGACAGCCGATCTTGAAGAGACATTCTCTTTGTGATTGTGCTTTACCAACTCTGCTGCAAGCAAGAGGTTTTCCATTGCCAAGCAACCACTGATGAAGGCAGTTTGATTTGGATCTATATAACCAGGTCCTCATCCCTTTATAAATGAACGAAAATTGTAATCTTGATTTTCTCGTATGTATTTTCAATTTTTTTTTTGAAAAGAGGTATGTATTTTCAATTTTTTTTGAAAAGAGGTATGTATCTTCTTGCTTATCGGTATTAGGACGAATACATATGATCTTTCGGTAGGAGTCTAGAAAACCCACGAAGAGATCTTCTTGCTTAAGAACAATTTAATATGAATGGTGGCATGGTGCGCAGACACAAAATTATTTCTTTTGTTTTCACCTACTAATTTGTCTTAAGTTACCAAAAGTTTCATTTAAAAAAATAAAATATAAAGCTTAGCAAAAGTCTCCAAATCAACCGTGTCGTATGTAAAGACTATGAATCATTCAGTAAAGGAGGATGGACTTTTTAAAATCTAACTTAATCAACACCATAGAAATTAACCCTAGTTTAGTGCTTCATGCTTTCCTATTATCGTTCATTTTTATACATCGACTTCTAAAACATATGAAACAGTTGAATAAAGGCTTCTGAATGTTTTCTTAACAATTTAAAGAAAAAAAATAGTTTTAATAATTTAATATTTAGGGTCTCGATTTAAAGTTTGTATTGGACCCCAGATATCTCATGCATGACTTCTCTATAGTAGACGATCCATACATAGACGAACCTAACCATATTATATAAATAACCTATAATTTATAAACTGTGTGAGAGTTTTTGTAATCATAAATTTACTGTTCAATTTTTTTGCTTAATCGTATATCTCTAATCTCTAATATATTTATAGAAGAATATTTGACATATAAATTAGAGCAACACGTTTTTTCTCAGTATAATAATTATTTTTAATTTTTAGAATTTTTTCATGTTATTATTAATTAATAAAACTAATAAATTCAATAATTTACATTTTCTAATTCGATGTATGTACAATATACATTTTATAAATTAATAATATTGAAACTTTGATATTTTATTAATTTTTCTAACAACTATTCTCTGATTGGTAAATCTTGTGGAATGGTGGAATGACAGAAAAAATGCGAAACTATAAATATTTTGCCAATCAGAAAAATCTGCAGAATTACGTTTTTGCTTACAAACAAAATACAAAGAAATCTTCATTTAAGCGGATAAGAGTGTTTGAAGTAGAGTATTTACAGAATTAATATTTATATTGTTCAATTATATAATTAGTTATAGTTTATTATTTAAATAAATACAAATAAATCATTTGGTGTTACACAAAACTGTATAATGATAAAGTTATGCCTATTATTTAAATTTTGCAATATTTTTAAATTTTTATATATTTTTATTTTGAAAATAATTTATAAAAAATTACAATAAGAATTATATCATTTTATAATAGTTAACTGAATTATTAAAATTCTATTTTTTATGAAATATAGTAAAACAAAATATTTTTAAATAATCATTTTCCGTCGTTCCGCCATTCTGCATAATTTATCCAATCGTGTTAAAAAAATATATTCCGCAATTCTTTTTTCTGCCATTCTGCAATAAGAAAAATGTGTTAAAAATGTGTTATAAAAAACACTAACTCGGTGGTGCCCTGGAAGGAGGCAATCTCAATTTTTGGTGGTTCCCTCGAAGGCAAGCAAGTCCCTATAAAGAGCATGCTATCTGATCGCGTACAGCCTGAAGGGAGCTGGCGAGGAATGACCGGAGGCCTGAGGAACAGTAGTCTCGATTCCCAGAGGAATGGTGCCCCAGAGGCAAGTAAGTCCACATGGTAGCATGCTGCTTGAAATTCGGATAGAAGATTTTGATGGAAAATCAAACCGCAAATATGATGCCCCCGTAGGGTTAGATAATGCAAGCGAGAAGTAGTGATATAATCGTAAGAGTGATGAATAAACGGGGATATAGCTAAGAGTCATGGAGAGTCAGAAGACAAAGCAATCAAATAGGCATGTAAGCAAGGGATCAAACAAACATGCAAGCAAGAAGTCACGCAAGAAAAGAATCACACAATCTATAAATCAAGCAACCATGAAAGCAAAAAATTTAAGCAAACATGCACATATTCGATCATTCAAGTAAATAATTAAGCGGATATGCATGCGCGGGGAAAAGACAAACGACTGGTTCACAACAATTCCCTCGTAGACAAGACCTAACTTAGTGGGGGTATCCGTCCATATAGAGTTTAGAGGTTCATACTGCTGTGTTATTATCCGATTAGGTTGGAAGTTATCACCTAGCATTTCTCTGGGATCTTTTCTGATCCTATGCAGTTTTCCGGGTCGGGTGTCGTGATGTCCCTTACAGTGATTACTTTTCTCGTCCGGGTAAGATTTTACTGTAGCGCTTTCATGTTTTGGTGCGGCAGGCCACGTGGGGGATTTTTGTATGCTCGCTGCATGAAAAGTAGCGCCAAACTATTTTCTTGCTTCTGGCAAACTTGCGCATCATCACTTCTCTAGGCCTGGAGCGGGGCTTAATTGCAATCTTGACCCTTGGTTTTCTCCGCCTTTTGTTTCTAATCCGGAAGTTCTAAATGCCTCCTCGTCTCTCGCCACTTCTATAAAAGAGTGAAATGAGAGCCTCCATTTACTTCACATTCAAAGCAAATCTCTCTCACATTTCCCTTCCTTTTGTTTTTTGATTGGCTTCATCATCTTCCTCAGGCCTTGTCAAAATTGTTATTGAAGACTCTACTCCCTCTGGTTCCAGTGGTGTGACCAGTCGGAAGCGTTCCTCTTGATTAAGACGCGAACCTTTCCTTGGAATGGGTAGCTCCTCGCAGTCCCTTCTTCTTCGTACTACGCATCTCTGTCTTCCTGAAGGGCTTGCAGCCATTTCAGGCCTTTTATTGTGGGACTTGAGAGTAGGAGGCAGTACTTTCCTTGGGGGAGTCTTGGGGCGTAAGAGCGATGAGCATGTTTGCTTTGCGTATATAATCATCAACGGTCTGGCGAAGACGATCGGATTGATGGCGTACCTCTGGAACTCTCTTATTTGGACGCATGAGTGAGAGGAGAGAATTCTGGAAGAGATGCATCTAGTACAATCCAACACAAGCTCTCGAGATAAAAGAGGCGGTGATACTTTTTCATTATTGAATATATTTATCTCTACCATCTATTTAATAGAATATATTTTTTTGACATCATACATATATATATATATAGTAAGTTTTTTTCTTTTCTGGTGTTGCCACCTCAGCAACAATATCATTAATTATTTTCAATTTAAATTATTTTCATATATAAATATAACTTTGACATTCAATATAAAAAATAGTAAACTTTAAAAGACAATTATAATACACAAATTAACATTAATATTCAATAAAAACAAATATTTGTTTACTTGTTTTTTGTTTCTCTTTTCTCCTTATCTTAAGTTTCCAATGGTGATTGCCAAAGAAATTTCTTTGGTAATTTTTCTTCAAATCTTCTGTTTTCCTCTCTTTTTTAAGGAGAGTGCTTTTCCGATCTTAATCTGGCGACCAATCAAGAGTTTCTGTGCCGGCTTCTTTCGGTTCAATTTTGTAACCGTTTTGATTTGAGATCCGAGCATATATATTGAAAATTCAGATGAAGAGCCATCAACCGTTTTCTCTAATCATTCCAAGATGTACAGCCTCCTTCTCGACACATACATCAAGGATAACAAGGAGAGAGACAATCTATTTTGCGCAATCAAAACCATCCCTTGCATCACGAAGAAGGCGCAGTGCGCGAAGACGTGGATCGACAGATCTCAGATTTCCGCGGAGCGTATCGTCGTTTTTGCCTGCATCGAAGGTATCTTCTTCTCCGGTAGCTTCTGCTCGATTTTCTGGTTGAAGAAACGCAGACTCATGCCGGGACTGGCCTTCTCCAACAAATTGATATCTCAAGACGAAGGCATTCACTGCAATTTCGCGTGCCTCATCTACACTCTATTGAGGACAAAGCTTTTGGAGGAACGCGTGAAGGCAATCGTCTGCGATGTCATCGAGATCGAGAGGGAGTTTGTGTGCGACGCGCTTTCATGCGTGTTGGTGGGAATGAATCGGGACCTAATGAGCCATTATATCAAATTTGGTGTGGATAGGCTTTTGGATGCGCTTAGGTACGGAAAGGTTTACGATGTAGCGAATCCATTTGATTGGATGGATTTAATCTCGCTTGAAGGTAAAACAAAATCCTTCCAGAAGCGAGTTGGTGTTTACCAGAAGTCCTCCGTTATGACCAAGGCATCGTTTAGCAGATTTGCAAAATTTAAAGAGGAAAACATCTATAATAATCGGAGACTATGTCCATTGATGAATTCAAAGAGTACAATGTCAAAGCCAAACCATGTTAGAAGGTATTGGACACCAATGATTTGGTATCTATTTGTAGAAACAGAATTTCATCAAATGGAGGTATTGGGTTTTATCATGTTGTGTGTAATTACGTGCTTCAGCCAAGAATTGCTAGCCAACCACATTTGCATCAGATGGAGATCGCATACAGAGAAGGAAAATAATGAATTTATTTTTTCATTAGCAAGTACAATTTACTTGTCAAATTTACTTTTCATCATGTTGTATCTTTTTCAATATATGGCGCATATATTGCTTATGTAATAATTTACTTTCCGGAAGTTTTGTATATCTGACTTTGTAATCCTTATTTCGTATCAATGAAATTTTTCTGAAAAAAAAAGATAGTTATATTGTGTTATCAGAAAATAAAGAATCAATAAAATAAAACATAAAAAAGTAAAAAATAATAATATACATTAGCTTTGAGTATTTCGAGATTCAAGATGGAAATTTACGAGTGTGTGATGAAAATTGATAATTAGAGAGATGGAAAAGAATTCCCAAAAAAAATTTAATAAAAATAGAACAAGAAATTTGGATCACGAGACAAGTTAGTGAAATTACATTATATAATCTATTTCATAAACTCTTAAAATTTTGGATGAAAGTCAACTTCAAGACAAATATTTTGGAAAACTCTGTAAAGTCACGGAAATTTTAACAGATTATATATATATATATATATATATATTAAAAATTTCTAATTCTTATATGGGTAATTCGGATATCTAGCATCACATATATTCTTTATATATATGTTTGAATAAACTAAATAATCTCGAATGGATATTATTTGATTAAAACAAAGATAAGATGAAAAATTCAAGATGGATATGGTGAAAAAAGTGACGAGTTATATGATACAAAAATATACATAAAATGATTACTAAATCCGCGTGTAATGCATATTATCAACTAGAAGTTCAAAGAATATAAAAATTTCATAATAAATACATATAAATAACGGATAGTTACAAAAATGACTCAAAATTTGAGTTGAAATGCAAATCTAACTCACAAAATTCACCTTCTCAACATTAGCCATTTTTTGTCCAAACAGTCATTACCAGTTCTAATTATTTACGAAATTTCTATATCAAATTAATTTCTTTTATTTTTAGATATCCAATTGACCAAATAATCATCATCTTCTTCACTTATTTACGAAAAAGCCATCATCATCAATTTGTCCAACCACCATTTTCAACTAATTTTGAGCTTTAATGGTACCGAAAACCCATTTTTGAGCTTGGATAGCTCATTATCTTTCTCTTAAGCTTCTATTCATCCATTTTCTCTCTATTTTCTTCCCAAAACTCTATAACTTAACTATTAACAGGTTGAAGTTCATATATATTTCTATATTCCGACGAGTTGGTCATTTTTTGCGGTTGTGTTTCTTTCATGGGGACTAGAATCGAATATCTCGACCAGAAAAGAAGCTAAAGACGAGTGGTAAGTCAAATTTTCAGTCAATTTTAGCGATTTTCAGTTCTGGGCTGCGAAAGTAGACTTCTCTTCACCACGGTGAAGTCTACTAGTCAACGCTCAGGTTAGTTTTGCAATTGACCGCATGAAAAAGTAGACTTCTTTTGGTCTGAATGAAGTATACTCTATTTCCTTTGATAACAAAAAAATAGCGTAGACTTCTCGAACAGACTTCTTTAGAGGCATGTCCTTTTTGCAATTGACCAATTAACCTGTGAGAAGTCTAATTTTCTCCGAGAAGTCTACTTTTCTTGTTTTTTAAAAAAATTCATTTTTATACAATTTATAACTAATTTTTAAGATTTTTATGATCCTAAGCTTATGTAAGTAAAGGTTCTTGCCTATGCATAACTTTTACATGTTTATATTTAATAGGTATAGTCGAATCAGTTTTTACGTTTTATATGATACTTAGCTTGTTGATCGCGGACTTCTCCAGGAAGTCTGACTTTTAGAGAAGTCTGCTTATTCAAATTTTTGTAATAAAACTTATTTGTCTGTAGTTTATGACAAATAAAATTTCTTTAACTCTTGAGCTTGTGTTGTTTATTAATCTTGCTTATGTAGAAGTTTTACATGTTTTTTCTATAGTTAAAATTTAATTAATATTTTTGTGTTATTAGGAGTTCAAAGATGTTAATGACTAAGTAAGATGTCATGGTGATTACTGAGTAAGATGCCAAGGATGATGTCTAAGTAAGACATTTACTTCAGAAGTCTTTGTAAGAAGTCAATTATGTAATATAAATCTATTGAGATAAACCATATATTATGTAATATAATTATAAGTCTACTTGAGAAGTCTAATTAAGAAGTCTGAATATGAAGTCTGACAGTGAAGTCTATTTTGTAAAATACATAAACACACATAATTTAGGGATATGATACAAAACATTCAATGCAATCCAACATTACATATAAAATAACCCTCTAAACAAACAAACATTTAAGGGTCAATGATTATAAATCTTAAAATTTGCATAGGAAATCACTACTAAACTAAAATGTTTAAAAAATTTGTCTGCAACTGAAGTCTGCTCGAGAAATCTGCAAGTGAAGTCTGCTCGAGAAGTCTGCTCAAGAAGTCTGCTCGGGAAATCTGCAACTGAAATATGCTTGAGAAGTCTGCTCGAGAAGTATGCTTAAGAAGTCTACTCGAGAAGTCTGCAACTGAAGTCTGCTCGAGTAGTTTGCTCGAGAAGTCTGCTCAAGAAGTCTGCAACTGAAGTCTGCTCGAAAAGTTTACAACTGAAGTCTGCTCGAGAAGTCTGCTCAAGAAGTCTTCTCGAGAAATCTGCTGAAGAAGTATGCTCGAGAAGTATGCTCGAGAAATCTGCAACTTAAGTTTGCTCGAGAAGTCTGCTCGAGAATTCTGCTCAAGAAGTATGCTCGAGAAGTCTGCTCAAGAAGTCTGCTCATGAAGTCTGCTCAAAAAGTCTGCTCGAAAAGTCTACGGCTGAAGTCTGTGGCTGAAGTCTGATTCTGACCAATGGTGCCGTACAATTAAGGTTTTGAACCTTTAATTCACTTAAATCCGATGGAGACAAGAAAGAGCTTTGTTGAGATCTGTAGAATAAAATCAGAAATATAAATAAGGCCAGATCTGCAAAGCCGCGTGACCTTCTTCAGGTGTTGGTGATGAGCGTCACCCCTTGGTTGGTGACGATCATCACCAGTACAGAGTAACGCCATCTGAGTTGCTTCATTCGGGAAAGATTCTTGCTTTGATCCAAAATCCTTCAAAACCTCCAGTTGTGCTCCAATCATGCTATAACCTGTAAAGACTCTAAAAACACAAAAAAATACTCTATAGAAAGGACTTATATCATGGTTAGAAACCATAAAAACCATGATATATCAACTCCCCTAGGCTTAGCTTTTGCTTGCCCTCAAGCAACCTTAGGAACGCCACATTGATTAATACTTTTGAATCCACATACCACAGAGCCAACACAAGATTATAATTCAGTATACTTATCACAAGCTTAGCAATCTCTCAAATCCAGTTCAAGCCCCTTCAAGAAATCTGAAATCTCTACTGCTAACTCTTTTCATTTATTTAAACGTGATATCTCATCAAGGATTTATCAACTCAATCACTTATAGATTCTTTCCCTTCCTAAACACTGAACAAGTCAATCTCAATACAGCTCTCCTATTTTCTCTTCCTTTGATCTATATTTTTTTTCAATTTTTCAACTTTCTTTTCTCATTTTTTTTACAGCATAAGAAATTAAGGACTGATGCTACTCAATACTTCTGTTCCTTGTGAGGAGACAGGTTCATGAGTGTTCACCACTGTTATTCCTTGTGAGGAGACAAGTTCATGTGCACCATTCTATAGACTTAAACTCTTAAAAGCTGTATGAGGGAAGATCAAAGAGAGATTGTACCTAAACATTCTTGCCAGTGTTGAAAGAGAGAATCAAGATCAATGAATATCAAGCCCTAAGATGAGAAGTTAAAAGTTCATTAAGGTGGAGTCAACAATAAATTTTCCAGATTCTCTAAGAACGTAAACCTTCTTTGCTAGACTGATCTACCTATGACTTTCAACTTAAAAAGACTTGTGATCAACATCTGTGGCAATGGTTCTTATAAGCATCAATGTTTTGTGGTTAGTTCCAAGAAAATCTGACAGCTTCAAGATTTTGACTCTATAAAACAGGTTTTAGACTCAACTAAAAGACTCTCAAAACAAGACACAATGTACAAAATGTCAGTAGCCACCTCCCCCAGACTTAAACAACATTGTCTCCAGTGTTATTAAGCCTAGAGTTGGTCAATAGGAAGTAATAGAACACATTGAACTGAGTTGGAAAGTGGTACCTCACGAAGGAGTTGGTGACGAGCGTCACTCAGCATGGGTGCTAATGGCGCGGGCATATGCTGGCGTATCCATAAGAGCTTGCTCAGTGACAATCCTGCAGGGCTCTGTGTTGATTTCGATGTGCTGAAAGATAGGCGTGAGAAGGTTGCCAACCTATCCATCTTGGCTCGTGAATGGCTTGGTGTTCAGAGTGACCAAGTGCTCTGCAAAGAGCGTGCCTAAGTTTGCGCGAATCATACTCTCTATTGGGATCTCATCATCAAGCATAGCAGAGAATCCGTAATATAGCAGAACGAGCTCACTCACGCGCATCTTACTCGGTGCAGACTTACAGAGAATGGTGTTGCCTATAAGGCGCAGAATATAGCGCACCACAGGGTGCCTGACGTCAGACTGTGTGCTCGTCTTGGAATCATAAGTCCCGTTCCCGAACTTGGACCAGAAGGTCTGCATATGAGACCACTGCAAAGGCGTGATTACCCCTGTAGGGTGCTCATCGAACCCGTAAATCGCGCAGAGCTCGAAAAGACTGATCTTGTAGTGAATCTCTCTTATCAGGAACGTTAGAGTGCCCTGCTGTGCGGTCCGAGCCAGCTCGTTCTCGTAGTAAACTCGAACTGTGGCGAGGAACTGGCGGGCTAAATCAGGGAAGAGATCATACTGCTTAGTCACCATGGTACTCATGCCAATCCTCCTCTGAACTCGCAAAACCTCTTCCTTAATGCCCATCTGCTGCATCAAGTTGTTGTCTGCGAATCTGGTGGGCAGTATCTTTACATCCTGCCATGCATTATGATATCTCACACTTTTATATCATTTAGGCTTGCATTTAGTTCATTTTAT